ACAGCTACTCAGCTGCTTGTGGTAGATCCCACCATGGAGCAGATTGTCAGTCTCATCATGGGGAATAACTACCACCAGCTGCCCAGCCACTCAACCAGGCTCAGCCAAGTTGACACACAGCCTTAACTACCACACAAGGAGTCTGAACCACCTGAGTGGCACCTAGCTACAACTATATGTGTGTATGTATATATTTGTGTATGGTTGTTGTTAGGTGCCATCGAATAGGCTCTGATTCATAGCAACCCTACGGACACTGCCAGTGTCCATGGGGCGTGGGTGCTGCTGGTTCACTGAGACATCAGACTGACTGCTGTGCGGTAGGACCATCTCCTTCCAAATCAGCACTGTTCTTGTTTCCTTCCCAACCCCCTCGCTGCACTCTGGAAGACTCTGAAAGTCAGAACCACTGCCCAGTTCTGTGCCATCCTCATAATCCTTGCCATGCTTGAACCCGCCATTGCTCTCACTGTGTTAGTCAGTTGTTGAGGGCCTTCCCCTCTTTCACTGACCCTCCATTTTAGCAAGCATGATATCTTTCTCCAGGGTCTGGTCCCTTCTGACCACATGACCAAAGCACACGAAGTCTGGCCATTCTTGCTTCTAAGGAGCATTCCAGCTGCACTTCTTCCAGGATACATTTGTTGTTCTGGCAGTCTGTGGTATTTTCAGCCATCTTTGCCAACACCACAATTCAAAGACATCAACTCTTTGATCTTCCTTATTCATTGTCGAGCTCTCGCACGCATATGAGGCGACTGAAAATACCATGGCTTGGGTCAGGTGTGCTTTCGTCTTCAAAGTGACATCTTTGCTCCTTAACACTTCAAAGAGGTGTTTCGCAGCAGATTTTCCCAGTGCAAATATACAATGGGAGGGCTTATGTCACTGCGGCTTTGTTACTTGTCGTCTTTTACCTACCTCTGCCGAAGATATTTATAGGTTCTGGTGAAAAGAAAGGATTTGGAGAAGAGAGAAATTGACTTTTTTTATCTGGAAATATTTCTTCTAGTGTTTCCTTCAAGAGAAGTTATTTCATTAACTTACTAATGCATTCATTTGCGTATGTGCCAGATATTAGACGAGGTGCAGGGATGATGGATGATGACTTCACAACACAAGCAGACAGATAACTGCAATAATATAGAATAATTGTTTTTAAGGAACCAGTTTCAAAATGTAATTTCTGGCTAATCTGGTTAGCCTGGTTCCCAGCTTTCTAGCCCCAGAATACAACCTTTCCTGGTCCAAGCAGATTTTCTGTTCATACTGTATGTTCTCCCTGACATGGTTCTTCTTTCCCCATGGGCTTAGTTACCACTTTTCCAACAGTGACTTAAAAATGTATGTTTGTTCCTCTTGGTCTTTCTCCTGACCTGCACTTTTGTCTTTTTAGCTGGTAATGATCTCCAGTGTGTCCAATATGGAGGTGCCCATTCTCTGCTCCTACATTTTCTTGAGTACCCACCCTCTACCCAGCTAGAAAGCTGGAGAGCTCTCCCCTCCACTCGTGTCTTCATCCATCCCTGGGCAGGCAGCCAGCCGGCTAGTCTAACGAGAAGTCTCCAGGACTTCTTTACTCCTCTGGCACTCACTCTCACCACTTAGCCTGGGCTGCCTCTTGGCCTCTCCCAAAGGTCCTGTCCTGCCTGCTTCCCATCTCCACCCTCTCTGATCCTTCCCAGAGCACCTTAGCATCATTCCCAATGATTTGTTTTCAGATGATAGGGCTCTTTGGGAAGTATAGAGAAGCAGAAAGAAGAAAATAAACACTGTTCATGATCCTTCCATCTAAACATAACTAACACTGATCTTGTTGTGGAGGGATCCCCCCCCCAACTTGTGGAACATACTGTATGTACACACATTTATGTCCTGCTTTATTTTGTTGTTGTATGTGCCATCGAGTTGGACTTGACTCATAGTGACCCCTCCTTGGGTTTCCAAGGCAGTATCACTACAGAAGTAGATTGCCCCATCTTCCTTCTGAGGAGTGGCTTGAATGGCGCTTTATTTTACTCACCATTATATCATGACTATTTTCCCATATCATTAAAAGTTCTCGGAAAATGTTATTATGCTTTGTAATATTTGATTATAAAAATATTCCACGGTCTGTTTAACTCTTGTGGGAAATATAAATTGTTTCTGATTAGAAAGTGTATTGTGCATTTATAAAAAGCACATTTGATTGTGTCCCTCCTGACTTAAAATTAGTGACAGTCAACCCCTAATAGGACAGAGCCCAGGTTTCTGACATGGCTCCAAGACCCTCCACAGCACACCCTCCCTCCACCTGCCTTCTTCCCACGTGTTTCCCTCACCCCTTGCTGGGAAGCCTTGACTCCATTCTTCCTGTACTCACTTGTCCCTAATTTGGGTGCCTTTCCTTCCTTCTCCTGTCCCCTCTCTGCTCCAGACTAGTCAGATCCAGCTCAAGCCTTTTCTCCTCTCTGAAGTCTCCCTGACTCCTCCCCAGTCAGGACAAGTTGCTTTGTCTCCTATAACTCTACAGCATTTTATCCATATGACCAGTACACTTTTTTTCCCATTATTTTTCCTTGTATTTAAATATATAATAGTAATACATGTTCATTATCTATGTTGAAACAATACAGTTTTGCATTTTGAATGAAAAGCAGTTCACTTCCACCCCCTTTTTTCCGCTCCTTTCCCAGAAGTAACCGCTGTCAGCAGCATTTTACTTTGTGTTCATTTATCTGGCTCCCCTTCTAGAGCATGAGCACGTGGGCCAGGGATCTTTGTGCTGGAGGGTCTGACGAGAAGCTGGGCATACAGCGAGGTTCCTGGCTTGTCTGTTGAGGGGATGACTGCCTTGTGAGTGGTAGAGGTGGCAAGGTGTGACAAGAAAACATCTCTGTCAGTAGTTCCCTTGTAACCTCCCACTCCCCATCTTTCCACTGTTGCTATTTCCTAGGATTTATGAGCAGCTTCCAGAAGTTCAGAAAAGGAAACAAGAAGAGAAGAGGAGATCAGAATATAAGTCATATCGGCTGCGAGCCCAGCTATACAAGAAGGTTGGTTGACCCTCCCTCTAGACTGGGGTTGATCAGGTTTATCAGGTGAAAGAGAAATCGAGAGCACATGTGACCTGTTAGAACACTCATTCAGAACTGGCTGAAGTTTCAGAGTAAACTCAAGCTTATAACACATTGTACTTCTGCTGAAATTCAGAAGATGATGGCACCTGTGATCAGGTTGTACATCGAGTTTAGGCTCTGCCATCTTAAGAGCTATGTACACTTACAGGTCAATTCAGATATCATGCTGAAAAATGTCCATATCTACCAGAATTGAAGGGTTTTCATTCCAGACTCCCAAGTGATGGTTTTATGCCCCTTTTGGATAAGCTATCATATACCTCCAGAACTTCTAGAGCAAACTAGAAAATGTCTGAGTGTGGCATAAGGGTTGGCAGTTTGGAGGGTCAGAGGCTCCAAGCTGCCACTGTTCCCTGCCTAGAGCCACAGTGACATCAGTGGTGCTGCAAGTTCAAGAACCTCACGGGGCGTGGGTGCTGCTGGTTCACTAAGACATCAAACTGACTGCTGTGCGGTAGGACCATCTCCTTCCAAATCAGCACTGTTCTTGTTTCCTTCCCAACCCCCTCGCTGCACTCTGGAAGAATCTGAAAGTCAGAAACTGAAAGGCCAGTTTGTACCAGGCTACCGTGGAGAACTGGCTTCTGGAGATCAGGCTTCCTTCCAGAGCTCGGGAAGCCGCAGCAGTGCACAGCCCATCTGGTGTGTCAGCACCCAAGACCACTGTCTTGTTGGCTTATGTATTTGCAAACTGATGGACTGATTAGCTTATCAGGATTGTAAATTATATTTGTAAAAGTAATAGTATCAATCATCTTTCCTGAACATTTCTGGAAGCATTTCTTGTATAATTACCATAGTTTCTGTAACTGAGGAAGATAAACAGGGTTTAAGTAGAACAATGCCGGTCTCTTCAATGACATGTCTGGTGAGGATGTGGCTGTTTGCTTCTGAAAAAAAGAGTATCTGACCTCCTTCCCCTCTTTCTTTTTCTTCACAGAAAGTAACCAATCGACTCTTGGGGAGAAAAGTCCCCTGGGACTGACATACATTATTTTCATCAGACCCTGGAAGTATATTTTATAAACCTGGAGAAGCACAAGCCTTACTTTTATGAGTCTGCATTTAATAAAATTTACTCTATGTCCATGTGCAATTTAGAAGTAGCCTTCTAAAGGGTCCGGGGCAAAGCCCTGGGTAGTTGTTCGTGGTATGGGAGCAGTACTTTCTCCACAGAGGCCTTGCCCACCCGCCTGTTTTGTTACAATGATCTCTCTTAATTCTAGCTTAGAGTGAGTCCCTTTTTGTATGTGTTTTTATACTTTTAGAAAATAAATAACTTTTGATTGACTCATAGTGAAGCAAGCACACTGCTTCTTTCCCATCTGAGATGTGCAGGGAGATTTGGCAATGTCTTCCCTGAGGTGTGGGAGCCGCCGCTGAAGGCATCAGTCAAAGATGATGGATCGCTAGAATAAAATGTGGCACATTTCTTTAGAAACAAAGCATGACATGGTGAGAGGCCCATCATGTGCTTTATGGAGAGAGCACTGGGGCAGTCCATCAAGCACATGCCGAGAGTGCAGCAGACGCGGGCACCTGGTCTGGTGAGCCTCCTCTCAGTCTTACTCCAGGGCTGGCTTTGTGACCCTGGGAAGAGATGCAGCTACCTTCTTAGGCGGATGTTCCTTCACCCACCTCTTGTTTTCAAGATTGAAGGCTCAGGCCATTTGTTATCACACAACGGAACCAATGTTCATAACATAGAGAGCAACTTTTGAAAAGCATGAAATAGTGCATGTAAAACACTTAATCCTGGATAAGAGTATAACAGGATTATTTTCCTGTGACCTGGAATTACAGTTAAGGCCCATAGTCAGGAAGGGTGCTATTATTGTTGCTGTTGTTGTTGTTGTTGTTATGTGCCGCTGAGTCGGACCTGACTCACAGCAACCCCTCCTTGGGTTTCTGAGGAAGTATCACTCCAGAAGTAGATTGCCCCATCTTCCTTCCAAGGAGTGGCTGGTGGGTTTGAACCTCCAGCCTTCTGGTTAGCAATCAAGTGCCTTAGGCACTATGCTACCAGAGCTCCTGGAAAGGGTGCTAAGCACCCTTTATTTTGAGTTCAGAGAACCAGCAGCAGAGCAGTCATCTCCCCAGAGGCCTTCTGAAAGGCCCAAAGAGCAGGCCCTGCCACCAAGCATTACAGCCACACTGCCTGCCCACACAGGAGGCCAAGAAGAAGAATCAGAGAAGAGAGGTCTACAGGGGACTTCCCTATCTTGTAGACAGGCTATTTCACCACTCTGGGCTGGTTTACCTGTAAAATCAAAGGCTGAAGTTAGTATTCAGAATAGGAAAAAGTGATAAATGACTCTAAGCCTGGATTGGCAAAGAAGCCAGGGCAGGATGAAAGGTGACAAAGAATGATGAGCACAGTTCTCTTTAGGCCCAGACCTGTGCCACTGAGACATCTCCCAGAGCTTTTATGTTCGGGGCCTGGGAAGCTTGCTCCTCACAGCCCCAGCCAGAACACACCTGTGAATTATACAGGTGCACTGGGAAGAACCTGTTAGCATCTCCTGGAGGTGCATTTAAACAGTATGCTTGCTTCTTTCAAATGATAACGTATTTCCACAGGCCACCAGGCAAGGGCTTGGGGGGACATGTATTTCTGCAGGGACTCACAGCTGTGGTGGTCCTGCCTTCACCTTTGGTGTGTAGAGCCTCTGGAGAATCCAAGTGTCTCCTGACAAAGCGGCTTATCTCACAGATAATCCTTTGCTTCTCCCAGCATCTGTTCCACCCTCAGACTCAGGATGCTTCCCCAACTACCACATAGGTCCCTGCTGACCTCCTGACAGAAGACACAGAGTCACCACCCTCATGCTACCATTCCTGCCTCCATCTGGCTGCTTGTTACCATCTTCCACCAGCCACACACCACCCACCCCCACCACATCTCTCTGAAACTGTGCTTTCCCCATCCCTGGCAGGACCTCAAGCCTCGTGCTTTGCTATTTTATCTTGTCTTCACACAGGGCCCAGCCTGAGTCATTGCCACTGGTTTTGAGCTGTTGGGTTTCACTCTTGAAATGCTTCTTCCTGGATCTAATTCACCTGAGAATCCACTGCCCTCTTTTCTCCTGAAGGTTAGGTGTAGCCTCCTTAACCACTCCTCCTTCTGTTTCTGCCCACCCCCCACCAAAGACTTCTGGGGTCCATCAGCCCATTCTGTGTGGGGAGAGGGAATGTATGAGGAAGGCAAAATGTTTTAACTGTAAATTACAATACCTTTGTGTCCCTAAATGATTGTCCTGACCAGTTGTAGAAAGGAAAGTTAGATCAAGCTGAACTGTTGACATAGTATGTATCTTTACTGGTGGTATAGCTGGGTAATTTTAACTTACAATGTTAGCTTTATTTTTACTGGCTATGACCCCTCAGTTATAGCTCTTTTCCAGTTTCTCACTAAATATTCATGAAAACAAGAAAAAAAAAAATTGGATAGTATCAGCAATTGAAATTAACATTGTTGGTCTCTAGGGAGCACCTTTGGCTTCTCTCCACAGCCCTTGCCCCTAACAACCCCACCACCACCACCCCAAGATGAAGAACCTGATCTAAGAGAACTCCCCACAACTATTCCAAGACTGGGCCACTCCAACTGCAAAAAACGGCAAGGAGGCCACATGTTCTGACCTCCTCTAATCCCACAAGAGGAAGACAGGATTACCAGCAGTAACCCAAGGCCTATT